TATTACATTACATTTAATGTTTATTTAAATCATCAACATATATTACATTACATTTCTACTTCAGATATACTAATAATACATTCTAATAATACTAATATATCCTAAAAATAGCAGATTGTCATTGGCAACGGCAAAAGAGTGGAAACATCATTCGCACTTGTTCTAAAAAGTCCATTGTTCGTCTCACGTAACTGCCGAACGGAAAGTCCGTTGTTCGCAGCAAGTCCGTTGCTCGAGTCACGTAACGGTCAAACAGAAAGTCCATTATTCGCAGCGTCCGTTATTCGAGGCGTACGTTATACGAGGCACCACTGTATTTATTTATTATAAAAATATTGTGTTTTTTTCCATGGAGAAAAACGAAATTACTTTCCGAACAACCTGATAGTTATCACATACACCACCTTATTTTACAATGCCAAGGAAAACGTTTAATAATCAAGAATGTTTTCAGCTTGTTCTACAAACCATCTTCAAGTGTCGAATTACATTCTACACTGGTGTGTAAAACTTAAGCAACAATGTAATTTTTAACCAGACAGCTATGAAATTGTAGAAAAGGGCTTATTGCGATCTGTACAATAAACACCCAACTCAGTAGAAAAGTGATTCATATTCAGGAAGAAGACATCACAGGTGATGTGAGGGCACATAGAACATGTGCAGTAAGCACATGCAGTGCAAGATTACAATAAGGAGGCTTTGATTTTATACTGTATGCATTCTATTCATTTTTGCACTAGTATGCTTTCTTCATCCTTTAAGTACAAAATACTGTCTCTGTATTCTAAATTTCATGCCTCCCAGGTGATCTCTTGCAGAGTTATGGCAAAAAATAATTGTTGCTTAAATTTTGCACACTAGTGTATTATTAGAATATAACATTCTAACAGAATTTCAAATACAACAAATTTAAATATAAATAAAATAACACAAAACAATTTTATTTATTGTATTTATATTTATATTTTGTTTCATCATTTATTATTATTGACAAGACTATGTCTTGTTTATAAAATTGTATTGCCTCATGTTCTTATCAGCATAGAGGTATGAAGGAGTACATGTAGAGTTGATATTTGGCACATGTTAGGGTTTTTATGCCCAAATCATTTGCGCATAAAAAAGTCCAGACTCGTATGTAGTCAGGGGACTGAGAATCAAGTCAGAATAAAATCCAAAATGGTGACCCTCTTCTACAAACAGGCAAAACAGCCACCTCACCCCACCAAAGTCATGTAGGGGAGAGTACCACCCGCAGCCATTCTAAGAAGTGAACTCTGACCTTAGGACTGAGGGCACCTGCACGTGACCTTTGCCCTTTGACCTCACTTTGCTCTTAAACTCTAACGAGGAGAGACATCTATTTACTACCTTTCGATTTGACAGCTGTGCCGATCTTGGATTTATATTATATATCGACACCATTGTAAATATCACTCTGCCGATACAAATTAAGTAAATTATCAGTTTTTTAGTAAATTTTTAACGACAGAACAAAAGACACAGAACACATGGTTGAAGTCAACATGGACATCAGGGATGAGGTAGGAGAGACATTTTTTCACTTCACGTTAATTGACCTTTCGAGTCAACAGCTGTGTGATCTTGGATTTTTATTATATATCGACGCTATTGTAAATATCGCACTGCTGATACAAATTAAGTAAATTATCAGTTTCTTAGTAAATTTTTACTGACAGAACATTCACCGAAAATGGCTCGTGGAGGACCTCATGGTCGAGGCAGGCAAAGTTGCAGCAATCGTTAAATCAAAGAAGATAGGAGAATGAGAACGAGACCTGCCTTGAGCATCAAAGTGATTCCGTCTCCAAGATATCGTCTTGTCCTAAATATGGTTTTGCCATTTTACTTGTTTGACTTTGGTTTTGTGTAATGTTCACTTTGTTTAAAGTTGTTTTGTGTTCTTTTATTTATATTTAAATTTGTTGCATTTGAAATTCTGTTAGAATGTTATATTCTAATAATAGAATGTAATTCAACACATGAAGATGGTTTGTAGAACAAGCTGGAAACATTCTTGATTATTAAACTTTTTCCTTGGCAAAATAAGGTGTTGTATGTGATTTACGTTGCTGCTGAATATGTGTTTTTGGATAAATTACTTATATGCAGAAGAGCATGAAAATAGAACTGCCAAACATTATCTGTTTCATAGCATTTGTATTGTTTTTTTTAACTAGTTGTTACTTAACAGACAATAAAATTAATTGTTTGAGAACTTTTTCCTTCAAAAAAAGTCTTAAATCTTACTTCAAACTCATAATGCATCTTAGAATCAAGAAAATACAGTATTTCTAGTATTCATTAATAAGTATATACATATCAATATGTAAATGCATAAAAATTATTTAAGATAGGATTATGATTGTTTTATTATCTGTACTTTGTTAGATCCAATGCTATAATATGTATAAAATTAACTTTTTATAAATAAAACACTTCTAAAAATCTTTAAATAGATTTAATATAATATACAGTGGAACCTCACTTAACGAGCATCTCTCATAATGAGCAAGTCAAATTATAAAAAAATGACTTTTCTTAATGAGTGATGAGAAGAGGGGAAGTCCTGGATTATGTGCATACTGCATCATTATGTGTTTAGCAGCACTTGTTCTGCTAGCATCTTAGTGTCACTTGTGATCACACATTTTTCCAAACTTGTGTTCAGACATATTACATATAAACATCAACAACTATAACCTGTTATATAATAAACATGTTACACAATATGCCAATTCTTGGGTTTTGTAAAGGCTATAATTAAATATTAGAAATTAATTAATTTGACTAGAGGTAGGCAGTTATGCTGCCATCTCATATTAAATTTAATGATCAATTCCAAATTAAATTTCGATTTTTCTTTTTTTGTTTTCTGAAAATAGAATTAGTATTTCAGGTTGGTCAACACACTAGAACCATTTTATATCCCAGTAAGAACAAATTTTAGTTAAAACTAACATTTTCGACCATAATCATGGTCTTCCTCGGGCTTTTGACCAGTACAATTCAAATATGGAATGCATCAAACATGTTTAAAATTATTTTAAAATTCTGAAATATTTAATCATTATAAAATAATTTTTAGCTGTATATGCTACAATAGTGATAAAAATATCCTTACATCACCATAAATAAATAATAAGACTCAATTAATGGTGTAGAAATGGTAGCTACATGCTAGTGTTGCTTTTGTTTTTTTTATAGCACCACCTCCATGCATACGAAACATTAGTGCCATCCTTTGCATTAATACAGTTGCTGGCCAGGCTAGCGTTGTATATTTCTAATGCTTCCAGGTTGCATAGATGCTCAACAGAATTTTAAAATAATTTTAAACGTTTTGGTGCATCCTGTAGTTGAATTGTACTGGTGAAAAGCCTGAGGAAGACCATGATTATGGTTGAAAACGTTAATTTTAAGTAAAATTTGTTCTTACTGAGATATAAAAAGCTTCTAGTGTGTTGATTATTCTTCCCAGTGATTCTGCAAGAAGTTGTTTTATTTCAGGTTGGTTCATTTTGCACTAGAAGAAAAGATGATGATGATTCACACTCCTTAACAATGTATATTGTATAATTTTCTTTGAATAAACATTATACATAAAACATTTGAGTATTTTTTTCGGCATGGAATGCATTATCATATTTTACATTAATTTATATGGGCAAAATTGTTTCGCTTAATGAGTGTTTTGCATTACAAGTAAGATTTTGGAACAAATTATGCTTGTTAAGCAAGGTTCCACTGGTAATATAATTATTTAATAGTTTAGCAGTTTAATATTCAGTATTATAAATTACAAACTTTTATGATATTTTTAAAGCCTTTGTTAACTTTTACATTTTATGATATTGAATATTATTTTTTTTAAATTAACTTTGACCAGTCTATTCTTGTTATTTTGTTTAGCTAAATATATGGTAGTATACTATATATTGTTTATTCTTATGATGGTATTTTTTAACAAAAATATGATGCAATTAATTTTTATTTTCTATATAATCATTTTTACAACATAAAATAATTACTTTGATGGTGATTTAAATGACTTACTTAATTTATATAATATTGAGACTTTGATTTTAGGAATCAGCTGCAAATGCAAAGAAAAATGGAGCATTGATTAGTCCTCAGATTGGATCAGTTGAAATTTTCTGGGCACAGCAGAGTTCACCAAAGAAACAAATTGGTTAGTATTTATTGTAATCATCCATATAACTTACTTTAAATTCTGTTTAAATTTCTTGATGAAGATTATTTAATAATGTAGTTTTTCTGTAGTGTATATTTATTTAATTTTTTATTTCTCAAAAGACACTGTGGCCAGTATAAATTAAAGTAATGTATATTTATAGTGAATACCTTAGTTTAATGAAGCAATCTTTTCTTATTTGCCAGTATAAATTAAAGTAATGTATATTTATAGTGAATACCTTAGTTTAATGAAGCAATCTTTTCTTATTTCTGCTTTCATTATTTCTCTCACAACAATTTGAATTGCTATTGTAATATGAGGAAGAGTCAAAAAGGAAGTTGCAATTGACATTTTGTTGCTAAACAGTACAGTCAAAATCAGTCAGTCAAAATAATCTTTATTGTCTGGCACCACTGAGCACAGCCAGGCAAAAATACAGAAAAATACATTTTAGATACATGCTGTTAGTCATAGAAGGGATACAATAATGTAATGGCAGAGAAAAGGGAAAGTAAAATAAAATAAAATAAAATAAATTAATATTATAAAAGATTAAAAAATAAAAGAATAAAAATAAAAGTAGTCTATACTATAACTAAAGTAACATTGCTGTACATGAAAGTCTACATGCTGTTATAGCAGAGCAAGGTGTGAATATACATTGGCATCAAGGCTAGAGTGAATCAGATCACAAGAGACCAAGTCAATGGATCCCACATCTAATAGAGTAGAGTGAAACAAATTCCTTTAACAAGTTAAAGTTGCTGTTGTTTTGTAAGAAAAAATCAGGCTTTACTGGCCAGTCTATATTGTTCCTATTGGCATGCTGCATGCACTGATACCTGATGTCATCCAGCA